GGTCCCACAGACCCTGCTGGCACTGTTGGTGGCAGTGGGGTGGGGGCAGTGAGTGCCAACCAGGGGTTGGCAAACACCTGCAGGCACTGCCAGCAGCATCAGCAGCCAGAGGCGATTATGGACTGCCCACAGACACCACCAGCAGTGACAGCAGTGGAGTGGCAAGTGTCAACCTTTTTGCAGGGGGTGCACTGCCAAGGGGGTGCACCTGCACCCGTGTGCACCCCCTGCATGTCACCCCTGGATGAAAGCAAGTTAATCAGGCCATAGACTTAACTAGCTAAATTGTACTTGTCTAGGATGCAACACCACTAGAGAAGAGCCCTTTCAGCTGCAGGGGCTGGGCTCCATATATCTGTGCAGAAACTTGCACTGTTGCTGCTTAGCTTCTATGCAGAATCAGGAGCAACAGAAGACACCTGTGCTAGGTCTGGCGAGCCAGGCCATCTCCCCTTCACTAGATATTATAAAACTGAAGATAAGGAAACCATAGAAAATCACCAAACATCAAGTGTCAAACAGGCGTGCTTCTTTTATTGACATAGTTACACCCACAGCTTGGGAAAAGAAAGTGAACAGCTCTTTAAGGAGCATGTGTGAGGGGGATGATTGCAAGTGGTTTGTATTACAATATATACACCTTGCATCACACAAAGGCCATCAAGGTGAGCCAGGGATAAAAGGAACCATAGCTTGTGAGATAAAAGTCATAGGTACCAAATCAAGCTCTGTACACCTTGAAAAATGGGCTATTGCTCTCCCTTGTTCTCTGACAACATGGAGTTTATTAACCACAGTCAAAGCGTGCTGAGCCAGCTGTTTTCTACTGATTGCAAGGGGGTGTTGAGTAGACTAGTCAAGGTGACGTACTCATTGGACATTTCTTCTTCATCTGCATTAGGGTCCAACCCTGTGAGGTGCTGAGCAGGTCCAGCAATAGGAATCAATGACTCTCAGCAGCTTGCAGGGTCCAGCAGCACAATGAGGGATTAGGCCCTACAGCAGTGAATAGGGATGTACAAATTCCTTGGGCTTTCATTTTCTTTTCTCTTGCTCTCTCCACCTTGCCAAACCCACTTTATTTTTATTTCCAGAAGTGGAAGTGTAGTGTTGGTGGGGGGTGACCAATTTGGAAAACTCCTGAGCAACATCCATTCAAACTCCCCAAACCTTTTTAACCTTTGAGACTTTTCCCTTCTACAAAACCCTCTTTTTCCTCATTGCCATTGAACTCATCTGACTACCTCATCCTTGAAGATGGGGCTGCAGCATCCTTAACCTCTAACCACTTTTCCAAAAGGCTAAGGACCTTGGAACAGCCTTGTTGAATATAGTGATTTGGATGCTCTGCCTGCCTTTCATTTCCTGGTGAAACACTAGCAAACTAGTTACCAAAAATGTTTCTGAAACTCCTGCCAGTTGTCCTTATCCTGATACCCAAGCCTATTGCTTTCAGTCTGAACGCTGGTGTTTGTGTTTCGTTAAGGGGGACTTATCTGTCCTCAGAGGCAGCAGTAAGTGCTATCTAATAGCTTGCTCTTTCCTGACCTTCACATCATCTAGCACTTGGAGTAGTGGGCCATTCTCTGGCCAGAAAGGACCTAACTTCAGCTTCCACTCAGCAACACATCTTAACTACTTTCACAACCCTTTAACTACCATGCCAAAATCAAACCATATGTAACTCCTCATAAAAGTCATTAGAGATTTAATGAGGATCCCTATGCACATTGCATCTCTTACTACCTTGTTAAAAATATGAGTTATGAATTATTACCATCGATTGGGAGCCCTCAGGAAAGGATTGTATCCTGTACTAGAATTGCGTAGGACCAACTATTCCCAAAAGGTAACAAAGGAGCAGGGCTCCTCAGTGGTAGTGAAGTGTCATAGCTCTCTTGAGGTGGTGGAGCTCTTTCCCAAATATTTGATGGGAAGAGGCGGGAGAGAAGAAAATGAATGCACTATAACAGATTGGAAGCCACAGATCTCAAAAACATGCTTCTCACTCAACCCATGAGGAATTGTAGGTGCTTTGCTCCTGAATGCACTATTCGGGCGCCCTTGAAACCCACCTCAATCAGCAGCAGCAACAAACTCCTTCAATTTTGATGAGCCAAACCACAGAGCCATAGGAAGTTGGAGAAGAAAGAACCAGCTAACTCTTAATTCAGGGGGAAGCTCCTTGCTCTGGATTCCCATGAATGTTGATAAGAAAAAGATAACATAGTGGAGCTCACTACAAGCTAAAATAAATGCAGGCTGACACAACACTTTGCTTCATATTCCCGGGTTCTTTTGTAAACTTAAGAAAACCTACAGAACGTGCTTTGGGGTTAGGGGGAGGGTGTTTTATGCACAATGTCTTGCGCATTCAGTGTCCCGCATTTCAAAATGGTGGTGGAAGCACTTAAACTAAAACTCATTCGATGAGCTTATTGGGTGAGACGCTGCAGAACGCTGAAGTGCTTTAATTAAAACGCTCCGTCTGCTCTGATGCAGTCTAACCAGCATGAACTGGAACATGTGTAAAAGTGTTGTATGAGTTTGCAGGTTTGCTGGCCAAACCCCTTCACGTTCCTGTGTGCACCTGCAATTCTAGGCAAAACAACAAGGAGAGCCTGAAATTTTGAGGGAAATTCTTTGTACAGGTTTGCTAATTTAAAACTGGGGGAGGATTTAGGCTGTACTTAGCCTGCTCCACACCTGTCAGTTAAGTTCCTTCTGTAGAAAAGATAGCAAAGAATTAAAAAAAAAAAAAAAAAAAAAAAA